AATTAAAATGCTTTTAATGAATATAAAATGTTATAAAATAAAAAAGACTTAAAATAAATTTGAGAGTTTCTCGTAAACAATGGTAAGAATATGAATAAGAATATACGGAAATGACAACAAAAATAGCATAATTAATAGAATTGATTAAATAGCAACATTTTCGGGCAATTCATCGAGTTTAATGTCGAATCGACTTTGAATTTCATTGCGAATCTTATCGGCCATATAACCAGATATAAACGAAATGGCGACACCTTTAGTGCCAAACCTTCCGGCTCTGCCAACGGCGTGCAAATAGTCGTCACTACACTCTGGCATATCGTAATTGACCACAAGATTGACTCTATCGAAGTCTACTCCCCGATCAAACATTATGGTCACCACTAATATACGTCTCCTATAGCTCTTCACCAACTGATAGTTGTTTAGACGCATCTCTTGTGATAGAGCCGAGTGAATGGGAACGACAGACATATTCATACTATAGAGTGATTCGTACAACGCTTTGCATCTTTGAATTGTGTTCACAAAAATGATTGTCTGTTTGTATTCAACGTTAGCTAAGATTTGGCAAAGTTTTTTGAGTTTCTCTTTTTCGAGAATTTCGACATAAAACTGTTGCAATCCGTGAAGAATAAGCCTACGATCGTCACCGATAATCACTTCCAACGGATTCTGCATTAATTTTCGGGCTTTAATGTGCATATTCTCATCCATTGTGGCGCTAAACATCATTATCTGTCGCTCAGTCGGTATGCTTTGATTGATGAATAATATTTGTTGGATAGTGTCTGTCAGACAAATAACAGGTAAAATGTGTTGGATTTTTGTTAGTTGCCAGTAATTACCTCTTTCAGAGAGCATTTTGTCGAACTCGTCGATCACAAAGTGCTGAACCCGTGTTAAGTCAATGGCCTTATCGCGAATCAATGCTATGAGTCGTCCAGTAGTGGCGACCACTATATTCGGTCGGTTAACCCGAAGACAACGTTCGTCCATTCGCTGCGGATATCCTCCGATAAGAAGAGCCGTCTCTACGTTCATATATTTGCTGAACCGGTCGTACTCTCGGGCCACTTGAAAAGCCAACTCTCTGGTGTGGACGACCACTACAACCTCTATATGAATACTCTTTATGTCCAATTGTTGGAGAGTCGACAAAACAAAGACACATGTCTTTCCCATTCCGGACTTCGCCTGACAGAGAATATCGACGCCGAGTACTGCCTGTGGTATGCATTCGGTCTGCACTTCGCTTGGATTCTCAAACCCGCAGTCAGTGATCGCTCGCAACAGCTCTGGTTTCAAAAGGAAATCACGAAAACTTGTTTGCTGTCTGTTTTCTGTGATCTTCTCGGGACTCTTCAACAGATTATAATCGTTGCCATTAAGAAGCTGTTCGTTATTAAACACTTCTTCGTCGTCTTCATAGTCTAGTAATTCAAAGTCAATTTTTAGATTTGAATCCATATTCAAGGCATCGAAACAGTTTGTAAAACATAAATAAACATTATGTAAATGTATGATTTTAAAATTATTTTAAAACACGTTTAATAATTAGATTCCTATCATATCTGTTAGTCATTTATTTGTAATCTAAAGTCTAACAAAAGTGAAGGAATTGTATTTTGTGTAAAAAAGTGCAAATACGTGTATCTCATGATTGAGTTTAGCATTAGGCTTATCGTGTGTTTAAGAAGTGAATATTTTTGTTAAACTTATTGAATTGTTTGTATTTTACTGGAATATTAGGATTAACGGTATATTTAAATTCAAGTCTAATAAAATATACTTTAAAATTAAAGTAAAATGAAATGTGTAAGAACCCAATGCACCAAGTTTATGTTTAACATTAACATACATGTAATTTTTTAATCATTTTACTTTGTATACTTATAGCACGAGTAATCAAAATCCATTCAATAATCACACGCCTATGGAATCTGTGGATGAAAGAGATTGAGTGTTGAAAATATTACATTAATATGTTATGAAAGCACTAAATTCTGTATATGTTATAAATATAGTGTTTATTAATTCAATTTATCTGACATTGAAATGATTGCAAAATTATTTTGTCTCTTTCTATGGTTTATTGAGATTTATATGATTTGTTGAAATAGTTTTTTATTATATCAATTAAAGTACAGTAAAGTATGTTTATAACAAACAATTTAATAATATAGATCTTGTTTACTAAATATTCACATCACAGGGAATTTACAATGAAAACAATTTAACTTGGTCATACGACTTGTAATTGTATAAATTAAATTCTTAGTTTATTTAATCTATTTATTTGTTGTCAATATTATTATACAAGCAATATGATATATTGTATTTGTAGTACAAATTTGTTATACAGTAAATTTGTTATAGTTTTATACATAAATTGCATTTAATAAATTAATTTTCAAAAATTGATTAAAAATTAGCCGTTTTCTGTCAATAATTTAATTAGAAATTAATGGATAACAATATTACTATTAGAGAAGGAACTTATAATGATTTAAATGCAATCAATGAGATTTATAACTATTATGTCTTGGAATCGACGGCCACTGCAGAGGAAACGCCATCCAATATAAACGACAGAATCAATTGGTTCAATGGCTTGAAAGAAAAAGGATTGCCAGTTATTGTGGCCGAAATCAACGGTCAGGTCATAGGCTGGGCATCTGTTTGTCTATTTAATGAAAGAAGTGGTTATCGTTTTTGTGTCGAAGATTCCGTTTATTTGGATAAAAGTTGTCTCAAGAAAGGTATCGGAACTCTACTTATGGATGAGTTAATGAAGAGAGTGAAAAGTCTTGGATTCAAATCAATCATTTCAAAGATATGCGAAGAACAGCAGAAAAGTGTGACATTTCACGAGAAATATGGCTTTAAAACAGTTGGTGTTATGGAGAATGCAGTTCTTAAATTCAATCGTTACCTCAATATTGTAATTATGCAAAAGGTTTTGTGAATTATGTTGTTTATGACACACATAAATGTAATTAAGTGCTAATGATTGCACAGCTCTTATGATAATTATAATAAAAATATTTTTGCAATTATTGTTTATTATTAATAACTTTTGAACAACAATGAAATTAATTGTCAAACTGTTTCATTGCATGTTTATAATTGTATCTAGGCTCAATTACTTGCACTTTTTAGCCCAATATTTGTTCCTTGCGCTAAGTTTACCGAACAGAATTGCAAAACAAAATATAAATATAAATAATAACAATTATAATGATAATATAAGATATAACTACTTGTAATTATACTTGTATATTAAATATACTGTACATTATTTGTTAATTTGTGGCATCAATTGATTTGTCATCAAATGTATCAGAAAATTTAGTCGTCAATATTAAATATCTGATATAAATGAGAATTAACTGAAAAGAAAAGTTCAATTAAAAACATACTTATAATATATTCAATAATGTACCATGGTCTATGGATAGTACAATATAATTACAATTACATTGTTATTAACGGTAAGATTATAGATATTAAACTTACTTTAAAAAGGGTTGTGTTAGTCATAAGGAATAGAGGACCGACAGTGAAAGCAACGGAAGTGTTGGCCATCCCTTCATATAAAGTCATTACTTTCAATTTTGTCCTAACATTACAACTATGTATTTCACTGATAATGATTTGAATTTTATACAATTTATTAGCCGTGAAATGCATTGTTTTTGGCACAAGTGATGCACAATAAGATACAAAGAATACAAATACCCATGATATAAATACAATAAAACAATTTAATAAATATGAATATATCTGCATGTCTTTGAATAATACTTGATTTAATAAAAGTAAATTCAATGGAATAAGACTTACCAACAGATAAAATAAATATATTGACCAAAACCTATTGAATATTTTAATTTCATGACAAATAATCATGTGTTGTTTCACCAATTCATTAGCAATTGTCAATCTATTATTCTTATGGATATTTTTACGGTAATTGTCAATCAATTCATTCATTTTATCATTTAATATCTCTGCCCTTAGTTTTATAAAATAAAACAATAAGTATAAGAAAGCGCTTGCAGTGTATGTGTCGTAACCAATATAATAACAACTTATTAATATTAAAAAACCAAATCCTATTGAATACACATATTGTTTAAACGTATAGAATTCTATTGAGATTCCGATGTACATCAATACCATAAGCAAAACTATAAAATTAATAATTTCTAAATTAATACAAATACATACTATTGTTAACAGACTATTATAAATACTCACATAAATTATAGAATGAATATTCAGTCAATTGAAATACAAATTGACATCTTTTGAGAAACTTTTTGACAACAATAATGTGATTACTTGTGAGACCAATCTGTAGGGGAGTTATGTATCCGCAACTCATGTCAAAGGGTTGTCTCCATTGGAATAGCTTTGTGTCGGAAACCAAGTAAAACATGTATCGAAGAAAAGCGGCCCAAAAGAAAGCCACACAATATGCAAACAAGTAGTAAGTCTTCACTCCATTCATAAAGAAACTCCAGTCGACAGTAATTATATGAATTTGCGGTGACATTGGATACAACAGATACACCAGATTTTTAATCATATTAAATATATGTACTAAATTTATTAAATAACTTTTTAGTTTGCATTTTACAATCAAACTTTTGTTTCTCTTTTGACTACTAATGTACAAACGTTTTGATAACAAATCGAAATAATTGATAAACCATTTATGCTTAACCCTAATACTTGGATCTAAACGTTGATCGAGTTTAATTTTATAATTATTTAATCTCCATGCATTTGAATATGTTTGAATCTTTGCTTTCCACTTGGAATTCATAATTGAATGGTTGAATGTCTTTAGACCACAGATTTAACACAACTGGAGATTAGGTTAGGTTTATGCAAACTTAACTTCCACTTCAAAGTACCTAGGTAAAGTACTTTATATGTTTTTGCGGTAAACATCATTACAATGTACTTTAGTTTTATTTTAACTTTTTTTTATTGAAATATAAATCTAGTAAATTAAAAATATGTAATTATATCGTGTTTTTCATTAATAAGTCAGTAATCAATGTAAAGAATCACATAAAATGTAAATAAAATTAAAAACAGAATTTTCAATAATTATTCTTTTATTAATAAACGAATTGTCATAAAAATAATTTATTTATATTTATAGTAACAATAATGCCAAAATTGTATTTTAGTAGTTTTGAAGAGATTAACTTTTTATAATTAACAGTGTTAGATTTATACATTAATTTATTATTATACAAACAATCATTTTTTAAACTTTAATTAATTATATAGGGATTATTATTTAAAAACTCAATATTCATAACTATTATTTTAGAATAATTACAATTTCTGATATTTTTAAAATTTCTAAGTTTAATGTTTAGAATCTAATAATTAAAACAAATTTTTATTAAATTTATATGACATTGAAATAATTACAAGATTATTTCGTCTCTTCTTATGATTTATTGAGATTTCTTGATATAACTTATTATTACAACAGCCAAAGTACAGTAAATTATATTTATAACAATCAATCTAATAATATAAACATGTTTACTAAATATTAACATGATAAAGAACTTTAAATGAAAACAATTTTACTTGGTCATACGACTTGAAATTTTAAAAATTTTAATTTAAATTTATTAATGTATTAATTTTATTCTCAATACAAGCAGTATACTATATGGAATACCGTATGTTGTTTTGTACTGTAATATATTTTGTACTTTAATTGCATTTAATAAATTTATGTTATAAAATTTCATTGAAAATAAGCAGTTTTTTGTCAATAATTGAATAAAACAAATAAATTGGATAAATAAATGGATAACAATATTATTATTAGAGATGGGACTCAAAATGATTTAAATGCAATCAATGAGATCTATAACTATTATGTCTTGGAATCGACAGCCACTGCAGAAGAAATGCCATCCAATATAGACGAGAGAATTGATTGGTTTAAAGGCTTAGAAACAAAAGGATTACCGGTAATTCCGGTTATTGTGGCCGAAATCAACGGTCAGGTCATAGGCTGGTCATGTGGTCGGCTATTCAATGAGAGAAGTGGTTATCGTTTTTGTATTGAAGATTCCGTTTATTTGGATAAAAATTATCTCAAGAAAGGTATCGGAACTCTACTTATGGATGAATTAATAACAAGAGTAAAAAGTCTTGGATTTAAATCAATCATTTCTGAGATATGCGAAGAACAAGAGAAAAGTGTTAAATTTCATGAGAGGTATGGCTTTAAAACTGTTGGTGTTATGGAGCAAGTTGTCTTTAAATTCAATCGTTATCTCAATACTATAATTATGCAAAAATATTTGTAAAATGTTTATAATATACACACGTTTAATTAATTACACACGCTAATGACTGCACAGCTCTTATGAATCATAAGTTATGATCATTATAATAAAATATTTTTGCAATTTTTGTTTATTATGCTTTTATTTATTAGTTTAACTTTTAAATAACAACAAAATCTATTGTCCAAATATTTTATTACATGCTTACAATTTAATCTACATTCAAATAGTGTTTTACAGTAACCCAACATGTGTTTTTTCTGTTTGACTAATAAGTGTACAGAATTTGATATTATTTTTGGATTAAAATTTATTAAAGCATAGAACGTAAATAAAATTAAAAACATAATTTTTAATAATGATTTTTTAAATTAATTATACAATTGCTATAAACATATTATATTTATAACAACAATAGTGCACAACATCTAAATATAATAGTTCCTTGAAATTGACATTTTATAATATAATATACAGGTATTATATTATAGGCTATAGTTTATAGCATTGATTATAAATTATAAACAATTATTAATTATTGGTTATAATTGTAATTTAAAAACATAATCTGCATAACGAATATTGAGAATAATTACCAATGTCAAATTTTTGATATTTTCTAAATTTATATTCTATATTTTAATTGTAGAACTAGAATTTACAGTAATTTCAAATAATTGACAAGGTTTTAGAGCATAAAAACATAATAAATAAACATATGGTTGATATGGTATCCTGTGTGCGATTAATTACAAAGTGACCATTATTTAACATATGAATTGACTATGGTCCAATGGTGATAGTTTTGTTCAATTCAGTAGTACCATGGTCCAGTAATGATGGTATAATAAATGGATGTTAATATAGCATGCTATTTTAGACTAACATAATATGTACGGTATTCTATTTATTATAGTTATGTATAGGAATTGCTGACCAAAGCAAAGGAAATGCCATTTTATACAATGAAAGAAACAATTAATTTAATGTATTAATCGAAAAAGGAATACATATTATTGGGTCGATATTAATAACCAGGGAATGGGTTTAAATGCTTTATAAAAAATTGGTTATAGTTTATGGGACAAAAACTCCATATAAATCATGTATTTAATATCACCGGAACTGATAATATAATATTAGATCAATTAGAGAACCGAAATATTTGGCTTCAAAATAATGACTGAAAAAATTATTATTTTTGGTAAAAAGAAGGAAAAGAATTTATTTTAATGAGATGTTTTGTTTGGACCAGGAATTCAAGCCCTCAATCATATTATTATGCAAAAGTTTTTGCAAAATTTCATTTTAATATGAATATACTTTGCATATGAATAACAACTGTAATTACACACTAATGAACGCATAATTGTTACGTTAATTATATAACAAACAAAAACTAATATTTTATGAATTTATTTATTATTCTGTTCCCATTTTTGGCAATTCTTATATAACCTCAATATTCCTCGTAATGAAGAATGTGTTTACAAAATAGAAATTTATCGATCGTATGATATATTGTATTAAATATTTACTTAAAATAATATATATTTCTAATTATTGATAGAAATAAAATTAAATGATATTTTCTAATAATAAGTTAGCAAAACGTTAGGAAATATGTTGAGCGCATACACAGCACAACGACCTTTAAATAATTGTATTTAATAGTACTTTCTCTATGGAGACAAACCATTCTGTGTTTCAAATTCTGTAATCAATACAAATAGGAACTGTATTTTCCATAAAGTATTCATACGACTACTTCTCCATTCATGTAAAGAATTCATTTTTCATTCAAAATTAGTAGTTATTTGTAAAACATATGTCGGTTTTTGGCACAATTATCACAGAAGCTAAACGTTTGTCCAAATGATAATACTTTCAATGATTGTCTGATAATATGCTGCAACAAAAAGCAACCGAAACGGTCACTCTTACCAGAAACCAATTGCAAGCAATTCTTGAGCTTATCTCTCAAATTGGAGGTAATTCTTGTACAAGTGTTTTATTTTTGGTTTATAATTAGTTTTTATATTTAAAAGACTAATAATGATAATTATGACACAAATCAATAAATGTCAAATATAAATTAATAGCTTAATATTTATTTCTATTTCTAGGTATAAGTCGTTCAGAATCGAGAAATGAAGTGAAATCTCATTTCAAAAACGACAACAAAATTGTGGTAAACGGTGTGACTGACGGACAATTGGCGAGTGTTGACCACTACTGGGAATCGGGAAAAGACGACATAATGGCCAAAAGTGAGTGGATTTCAAACAAGAGTGATAGCGATCCCATCCAAACATCTCCTCCGCTTCTAATGATAAACGACAGTCAAATCTCGAATCGGTTATTATCTGCGAGTTTAAGTGATTTGTCGCGACCCGATTCGGTGATGACCAACGAGTCGTCCACTGAATCCAAATACAGAAGATATGCCAGAATTAATGACTCGGAGTTTGATTGGAATGAATTGCAGAGAAAGAGGATTAAAGCGTTGGAATACAGCAAAGCTCTCGCTCTTCAATACGAAGAGAAAAAGCAAAAGCGATTAGAAGAACAGCAGAGGATTAGAGACGAAGAACTAATGCTTGAGAAGAGACTTGAAGAAGAAAGGGTTAAAATGAAGACGGATTACGAAATCGAGCAAAATTTAATCGAAAAGAAGAGACTTTTGGCCGAAAAGAAAAGAGAAGCCGTTGTTGAAGCCATCGAAAGGACACCCGTTATTAAAAAGAGACATTTTTTAATCGATAGAAATTCTGCACCCGATGTGTCTGCGGTCGCAGCCGTTGCGGCCGTTAAGCCTCAGACCAGGACTCATGAAATGTCGGCCCAAACCGAGAAACAGAATTCACAGTTTTGCGAAATCGGAACCCAAACTGATGTCCAGTTATTGTTATATTTGTTGAATGAAATGAAATTAGTTTCAAAAGAAAGACCAAAATCAAAACCTAAATTGTCTGAAACATTGTCCACCGATTCCACGTCTTCAGTGGGCTCTCAAAAACCAAGAATTAGAAGAAAACTCAAAGAGAATACTGAGTCCAAAGCGGATCAAAACAAGGATAAAGTGGTGAATAAAAGACCCCTTTGGGTGAAGACACCGCAAACAAAGGCTAATATCAAAACTAACGATAAGACGTCGGCCCGAAAGTCAAGGACCGCAGAAAACAAGGAAATTGAAGGGAATATTGATTCAATAAAACAAATCCAAAAGTCTAATAATGAATTATACCATGAAATGAATCAAAAAAGTGATAAAACAAAATTTCCAAATAACGGATTGAGTAGAAGTTCGCTAACGCTCTCCGCTTCGGCGGCAAATGTGTCCGAATATAGCGGTAATAAAAGGATAATGTCTTCAATCGAGTCCACAAGTAAACTGAATTTTTTGCCAGATATAAGGCCTCATTCGAGAAAGAAGTGGTACAGTCAGCAAACATTTGATCCAAACTTTTTATCATGATTTATGTCCGCAATTAATTTGTTATATGCAACAAATGTACTCTATATAGTGTACAATAATTATATAAATTATAATTGTATAATTAGTGTATTGTTAGAAAGCGTTTAAGTTATTATGAGTACAAAATGTATTGAATTCTTGCATTCATTCAAATGAGTTAATTATTTTGCAAATATTTGTGATATACTGTAATTGTTTTTCTATGTTTAATCACTTTAATGATGAAAATGAATTAACTTTACCAAAACTCCAATAGAAAAGATTGCTTTAAAATCATTTAATCTTTTAGTTAATTAATTACAGAAATACTTAATGTTTTAAAAAGTAAAAATACAAAACTATTAACTGTTAAACTTAAATAGTTTTGTAAAACAAAATGTAATAAAAAAATTACTTATTAATTAATAAATACATAATTAATTATAAAGAAACTAATCATTTGATTACAATTTTAATATAAAGTTTCAAAAGTTATTGAGAAAACTTTTTCCTAATTCTTGAGTGAAAGACAAATGATTTATCAATAATTAAATGTAAAATACATTCAAAGCCTAAAGTATTGCATAAAAAGTGCGCAAAAGTTATGCGCAAAGCGTTTAACGAAAACAAAAATCAAAACATTTTGACAACACTTTGAATGCATTAATGGATTAATCGGTTGACAACTGATCCCAAAAGTCTTGTAATCAGCCATTAATCCAAACATCACTCGAAGACATGGAAGTGAACCGAACGGCTCTTCAAGAGGTGTCCGAAATCGAGAAAAACCTATTACTCGGCTCTTATATCGTCGCCGAAGACATGGATCAAGTGAAACGTCTGGACATTAAACACATCCTTAGCGTAGATATCGTTCCGTTGGAAGACATGGATAAACATCCGGACATCTCTTACCTCTTCATACAAGCCTCAGACAATCCAATGCAAGATCTGATCACTAGATTTGAAGAGTGCTATCATTTCATAGACGACGGCCTGAAGAGTGGTCACAAAGTTCTGGTCCATTGCGTGGCCGGAGTGTCCAGGAGTTCAACAATTGTCATCTCGTATCTCATGGTTAAGCATAGGATGTCTTTCGAGGCGGCGATGGCTTTGGCGAAGAGTAAGCGCTCAATTGTTTGCCCGAATGATGGCTTTCGTAAGCAATTGAAACTCTTTGAGACAATGAATCGACAATTGGATCCAATGAATGGACAATTCAGACAATTACTTGTCGAGCACTTGAGGTATGAGATGATGAGGACTCGACCGTGGATTCGGGACTTTGACGCCGAGACTTCAAACGGCAATATTTGTGAGCCTTTAAGCGATTATTTCAAGAAATGGCGAGAATTGTCAGCAAAACACTCGTCCACTCAAAGACGCGAAGACGTCTACAAATGCAAGAAATGTCGGATCTATTTGTTTAATGAGATTAATGTGATTAAGGGATCAATTAGTGGTGATTCTCAGCCACTATGCGAGTCCTTATACGTGGAACCACTGACTTGGATGACAGAGTCGATCAGTCATCAGGAGAGCGGAGCAATCAATTGTCAGAACTGTTTCACTAAATTAGGATATTTTCATTGGAATCAAATCCCCTGTGAATGCAATCAACACAAGAACTCCAACGCCTTGTCCTTCAAGATCGACATTAAAAGAGTGGATTCGCCTCTAATTCTCGTTTCATTCAATACTTAAATCATATACTGTTTTGTTTCGAAAATATTTTTCTAATTAAAAGTCATTTTCGAACAATTATATAGTTATATAACATGTAAAATATTTCTTTTGTAATTTTTCTAAAAGTTCATCAAAATTAATATCCAATAAATAAGTTATAAACTAATTCTCATAAAATATCTGTAAAGTTATTATTCATTGTAAAGAATATTCACTAAATGTGTATTTAAATAAACATTTGATAACAAAATTTGAAACAAAGTATACATTTGATTAGATTTAAAGCCTTTAAGTGTTTAACTGTTAACTAAATCTGATTGCGAAAGGGATTCCACATGTGGTTTAAAGTGCACTATCTTTGCACTAAACTGTGTCATATGAAATGTGTAGAAATGTGCATGATCATATTCACTCATTAATCATGTTAAACTTTCCAACACTATCCACAACTAATTTAGTGATTCAGTACAAAAAAGTCTTTGAAAAAAGCCCTTTAATTCGTCATAAGAAATAACTAAAAAGTTTTATCGAGTGGAAAGTTATCATTGAATGCCTGCTAATTAAAGTAAGTATTGAACCATAATTTCCATAAAACATATACAAAGTGTGAGTAAATTCAACCATAAGTTACTCACTATTAATGTATTTTGGATTAAAAGCTGTTATTTTCAATGTATGACTGATTTTATATGAAAAATACTGTAAAACACAAAGTTTTTTGTCCTAAACTTGACAATAGAAGTGAATAGTGAATGGGATTTGTGTGAAGTGTATGGCATATGTATGCTGTGTATGGCTATAGAGGGAGTGAGCGGTTGCTGAGCCGGCAGTAGTGAAGCAATGGTGGTGTGAGTGAGCGGTGGCGCCGCCACTGAGTGGAGTAGTGCTGGGATTGTGTTGTTTTGTGTGAGAGAGAGAGTGAATACACAACACATGACATAAACATAACATCGTTTGCAATACACTTATGGCCGCAGAGAGAAAACACAAGCACTCAATCCACTGTTCACATCCACTTCTGGCCCCTCGTGTCCGCTCCGTATGAACGCTAGGCCTGTGTCCACACGTGTGACATACGGCCCGATGAGTGGCCAACCGATCGGTGCGACCAAACATCAGCCGATCCGTTGGTGATTGTCTTCATTTCACACAACACTTGCCATACAAAAAGGTCATTCAATTTGTCGTCAAAATTGGGTAAAAAATGGCGACCAATAAGAGCGACAACAGAAGCGCTGACCTCAAAGCCGATCCGTTGGTGATTGTCTTCATTTCACACAACACTTGCCATACAAAAAGGTCATTCAATTTGTCGTCAAAATTGGGTAAAAAATGGCGACCAATAAGAGCGACAACAGAAGCGCTGACCTCAAAGTCGGACAGTTGTGGCACACCATCGATGACAGAGTGGCCACCGATGCCGACGATAGTAAGTGTCGACCACTCGTCGGTCCATCGGATCCGACGATTTTATTGATGAATTGATTGCCAAATGAGTGAATGTTTTTCTGTCGCCAAAACAAAACTTACTTTTTTCCCACTCTTTTGGTGTCAAAACACAAACACATGAAATGAAAACAAACTTTTATTTTCACTCAAAACTGATTTAATTTGATTTGATTTGTGCTTTGATTTGATTTTCACTCATTTGGCGATTGATATGATTGTATGAAACGATTTGTTTTGCAATTAATTGTGTTTTTTATGACATTTAGCTGAAGACGAAGACGATGTCAACAAAGATAACGAGACCATGAAATTGAAACGCGAAGGTCTGTCCACCGGGTCTTTGACTTGTGTTTTGTGATCTAATGATTGATTTACTGTCCATTTGCACAGATATGTCTTTGTTTGGCATCTGTCCGGCTTGGGATCAGTTTTATTTAGTGGTTTGTGAATACTGTAAACAAGTGATTAAACCACAAGCTCTTCAGCGACACATAGGTTTGTTATTCATCCACTCGTTTACCATTTGAATCGATATCTGATTTGTATTTATCGCTTGATTTGATCCAGAATTACGACATTCATATCATAACAACATTTCCAATCAAATACACAAATCGCTAAAACTGAGAACCGATAGTACAAACATCACGACAACAACAGCAACTACTCTGCCATCGATGACCACATCTCCAGACATGACCTCAATTGTAATAAAGCAAGAATGCGATGAATTCGTGAACGGAAACAACGATAGCATCAGTAATGAAGAATTGGTTAATAACTGTATTAATAGTGATGTGAAAGTGATGTTGAATTCAAATGATTTGAAACCAATAATTGACAGAAATATTGTTCTCATCGATAAGAGTGGTAACACTGTTGACAAGAATTGTGTGAATAATAATCAATTGACTGAAAACTCACTGAACATTAAATGCAATTCAAAATTAATTAACTTATTGTCGCCAAACATCAGTACAACACTCGAGCCTTTACTGCCAGAGCCGACCGGACCCGGACCGGGCTATACGGTCGGAGTGGTCAGCGCCGACAGACACTCAGTGACCATTAGTGTTCCCGAAATTAGCTTAAGTGATAATAAATTAGACATTAATGCGAAGGACTGCGAGTCGACAGCGACTGTAGTAAAGGCACCGCCGAAGAAGAAGTCCTATAAGAAGCCGGCGAACGAGAGGAAACTGTTGCCGTGCAAAGACAGGCAATACGACGCCAACAAACACTGCGGTGTTTGCACGGGTGAGATGGAGAAGCCCTGCACTCGGAGTCTGACGTGTAAAACACATTCGCTGACTCTTCGGCGAGCGGTTCAGGGAAGGGAGAAGAACTTCGACGAACTCCTCACCGAACACCGCGAGGCAAAAGAGGCCGCACTCAGGGCTCAGGGCATCGAAATAAAGCCCACGAAGAAGACGATCGCCAAACAACAGCAACAGTTAAGAGCCTCACAGCAGCTTCAGCTCAAAGAAGAGGCTCAACAACAGCTGCTCAACGATGGCAACCATTTACAGCCGATGCGGACACTTGTGTTCAATGATTGCCCAACGATTGACTCGAGCCTCACCCCTAATATCCACACAAATATAAATAGTTTATCATTTGCTTCATCGCCGCTGAACTCTTCATTAGAAAACTTCATGTCTCGCAAAACACCGCAACTTTCGCATCAATCTCATCGCAAACTCACTCACAAACAGATCGAAGTGGACGCCGACGGCTCGGTGTATATGTGTTGTCATCCGAGACCCGCAGCCGTTTGTAATTATAATATACGGACATTTGATGGCTCGCGACTGCTGTCCCGTAACCACGACCTGACATTAGCGGCGTTGAGGTCGACATTCAATAGTCCTCTTTTAGTGTCAAAGTTAGCAAACAATCAAAAGTGTTCCTCAAGTGTGTCTCAAATGTCTGTTAAGAGTCCGTCTCGTAATACAAATCAATCGTTTTCTCACAACAAAAAGCTAAGGACTTCTATCGACCAGTTGTGCGACTCGACGGGTGACGAACCGGCGGCCGATCCATACAGTTTTGCCGACGGAATCGCCGCCAATAGTTCCAACAATTATACTTATGTTAAGCCAAAGACAACTATCGCTAAAAATACTGCAAATGTGTCGAAAAAGAGAAAGAAAAGTGATTCAAATGTTTTGACACAAAACTCAAGTCTTTTAAGTAACGGACAACTCATTCATTCGTCGATTACAACGAAAGTGATTGCAAGTAATCCTAAGAAGAAAAGTGTTGTCAAAAAGAACTCTCAAAACACTAATATTTCGGCTTCGGTTCCATTGATGAATACAAACCTTAATTCAAATCCAAACATAAGTGCCGCCAATAGTAATAATACTGTCAGTAATTCACTCATCGTTAACAATAGTGAACAACACATTAATCCGTTGACTAGTCTTGTAAGCGAAACGTCCGCTCCGGTGACCCACAGGAACCTTAATGTATGTCTCACTCGCGTTGTATATTAAACTTCATTCATTTGTTTAATAAGTATTTGACATGTTTTTGGTTTTAAAGGATATTTTGTCGAATTCAATGTCGGATTCGTTTAAATCAGACAACGGATCGATTCTACTTAATGGAAGTCTTCTCACTTCCAAAAAGAATACATTCTCTTCTGTTTCAAAGAAAACCAATTGTGATATCAAAGGTAGTGATCATTGAATTCTTACATTGAATTATATATTCTTTAATTTTGAATTCTTTGTTTTCATTTTTAGATTCAATTAATAGGAAATCGTTATTCCCGGCGAAGAATTTAGTAACGAATAGTAATAACAATAATAGCAGTAAGTTATTAGTGAATAGTATGAGTCCAACGCTGACATCAATATCAATGACACCGACTTCTCGACCAATTATACAAAAGCAAACATTGCCTTCGAATTCAGTCAATACGTTAAGTCAATCTCAGAATATGTCACAAATATCTCAAAACATTCACAACGCGTCTCACACTATATTTATTAAACCGACGAAACAATCGCTTCAAAATTGAATAATAATTGCTTTTCACAAGATTTGATGTCTTTATTCGTAAAATGAATTATTTCTAACAAACAAACAACAACTCATTAAATACAAGAATGTAAATCTTTATATAGAAAATGCACAAAATCTTGAAAATGAATTATTTTTACATGAAATTGAATTTAAAGACCATTCAAACCAACAAATTGTCTCTCTTTTTGTTCATATATATTGTGATAATTTATTAATTCATTTCAAAGATTAAGAAAATTGTTTTATTATTTAGTAAACGAAATAACAGAGAAAACCAACTGTTTGTTAAATGTCTTCACTGGTTGTGAATTAATTGTTTTATTTGTAATTATTATTAATTTAAATGTTAATTATTTTCTGTCTTTCGACCGATTATTATTATTAATTATTATTATATTAATTTAACTATACTTTAAAAATTATAATTATTATATTATTTGAAAGTATTTCAAGTGTTTGTATTGACCTAAAAAATACTAAAATGTTTAAAGTAATACAACACTGTATTTGAGACAACAATTAGTGAAAACAAAAACTAATAATTAATTTAAACAAAACAAAGACATCATATTTCGTTCCCAAAGTAATAATTGGTTTTATTATATAAATATTAGTTATAAAAAGTTATTAATTTGTATAAAAATTATGTAAATATGATATAAATCTATAGTAAATAACGATTTCATTCGTAAGTGGAATCTCACAATTCAGATGACATAAAACATCTCGACATTCATTCATGAAAATAATGAATATATCGTTGATTTGGTTTCATATATTGATTCAGAAGAATATGAATTTTTTAATAAATAATTTAATTGTGAATATCTTTTCAAATAAATTAAAATAAAATAAAGTTATTTATATAAAAATGGATTCGTTTTTAATTATTTACCAAATTATTGTTAACCTAGATTTCAAGTGAAATTTTATCTGACCTGACATTACTGTGGTTTCTACCGAAATGTTATATTTCATTCAATTCCTTTAAATTGAAGGTAAATTTTTGTTCGTTTATTGCAATTCCGTTATATTTGGTATTCTCGCGACTCTAATCTTATTAATTAGCAAAGAATTTGATATGCAGTTATTCATGGAAAGGATCATGTTACATGATTCATGTTATTCATGCAATAGATTATGGTTAAGAATTTTCTATCAACATTAAATTAAAAACATGAACTCATTTCTAACCCAAAATCATTTAAAATCAATTGAAACCAAATAACATGAAAAACGATTTATTATTCTTTAATTATGCAAACATTTCATAAATTAATAAATTGCAAGAATAGTCATAATAAAAGTGATAATACTGTTCAGTATATTACAAGTTATTAAAAAAGTATTTTTAAGTTAGAAATGTATTTTTGTACTAATAATAAACAATTAAATAATTCATTAAATATATAAAATATCGTTTGATTGCATATAAATGTCACGACAATAGGACTGGAATTTATGTGATAAGACAGTAAAGTCCAGCGCCGGTCGTGTAATGACAACAATAAAATTGCGATTTTTATCCAACATATAAAATATTCAGTAGTTTAACGCTCTCTTAACAGTAAAATATAATATATTTGTCATAAAAAATAATAAATAAAATAAAAACATTATTTCATAACAAACATAACCTTAATATCAGTAATAAATTCTCGATTAAAGCTATTATAATAATAATAAAAATATTATTTTCACAACAAATTTAAGGCACATTTCATAATAAGTTGTTTTTTGATGTTTTGTTCAAACATTAAGTCAAATGCTTTGGCAAATGAAATGATCGCAAATAAAATATAAGAAAATCAATTGAAACTTAAGTTCTCAACAAATATAAAAATATATAAGATTTAACAGAATCCTAAGTGACAGCTATTGGACCGCTAGTACTTAATAGGCCTCTCCTTTGCTGTTGTTTTCGTTGTTCAGTCATCTAAAGTGTGTGTAAATTATATTAATTTATTTCTAATTTAGAAGACATTATATGCCAACAATTACCTGATCTTTAAGTTCAAACAATTGTTGACTTAGTGTTGAGACAAGTTTTTGTGTGATTTCGAGTTGAGATTGCAATACACGAAACTCGTTCTGCTCTCCTTCCGCGTCGTTGGCCGCCAAAGACATGGCTCTCATCCGTGGAAACCAATCCAGATTACGTTCCTATCATTAAACAATGGTTAAGGCATTTCAATCTATGCAGTAAAATGGTAGATGTGATACCTTGATCATAGTGGCCACATAGCTCTCAGGACCGGTAAATTCTGTCGGATTCTTCACTTTAACTAAGACTATAAAATAGAGGTAATGCCACATATTATGCTCGCATCGGATGTGCTCTTCAAATGACACACTCTTGTTGTCGAAGGAAGACCTGTCCAGTCCTGATATATCATACAATTCATTAGTTATTCTTAAAATACATAATTTGTTTAAAGATTACCGCATATAAAGCATGTATTCTTAAGAATCTCTTCCTTTTGTTGCTTTTCGCTTCTGAGGTCAGCGAATGTGTCGATAATAACACCAAATATGAGATTAAGAATAATAATGATAACAATGAAGAAGAAGAGCATATCATAGATAACTCGTGCGATAAATAGCGGTTCCGCAGAACTGGGAGATCGCAGCACATCTCCAATTCCGCCGCCATTCCTGAGGCCCTGATTTAATGTCGTTATTATACACATTATGAGTGAATCACAAACTCTTTCTTTAGTCGATTCTTCGGTCTCTTCAGTCAAAGAGGTCTCGGAATCGTCTGATTTATTCAGTAAATCAAATAAAACGCTAGTATTTTTATGATGCGTTTCCGTTTGATTTGTTTGATTATTGCATCCGATGTCGGAATTGTTAGCCAAACAGCGATCAGTTTCGGCCAAATCCTCAACAATTTGGTTGTTTTGGTCCCAAAGTAGGGATGAGTCGACTTCCATCTGGAAGTCATCGCTAAAAAATAAATATCCAATAATTGAAAATAAATAGACGAGAATGAGAGCCAATATAGCCGTCAATATAATGGAGCGCCCGTTTCTGGTCACAGACCTAATCACGTTCTTCAGGGTCTCCTCCTGATAGACAACATTCAGGAGCTATGGGTTTCAGATTCAATACAAAATGCGTTATTAAATGGCATATAAATAGTTAAATAATTTAAGCAAAACACTCACTAAAATACTATAAATCAATGGATGGACTATAAGGCCAACCATACAGAAGATTAGATAAACCACATGATAGAGAAACTCGTTGTCAATAATAATATGTCGATAGTCTTTATTGAAAGTTCCGTGATTTCCCATCGTTGAGATCAAATGAACAGTAGTGGCGATCACATTAGTCGAGCCCAACACGAATAGTGTCGGCCGAATGCCTATACTATAGATGAGCCGCAATATTAATGAGGCACCGAATACCCGAATGCCGGCCTTCCCGGGCATTGTCAGCACCGATGATAGCGATACCAACATAACCGCCCAAATCATCGCCGATAAGCGAGAGTCTAATTCTGATTCATATAATTGCCATCATCATTATTATTATTTATATAACAAATCCTAAACTAATGATTGAATTACCGGTTTGATCGGGAAATGGATAGAAGAATGCGATAATAATGTTGATAACGACGGCTAAGTTGAATGTAATGGAGTTCCACATTGACATGTGTCGCGACACCCAAAACAATAGTGGTTGGCCTTAAAGATTCATACAATCACTCATTACATAATCAAATGTTATTTCTCAACACAAATACCTCTTAACTTCTTTTGCCATTTCATTTCATTGAAGAGATCTTCTGTGCGCTCGAAGAAGTCGGACACTTTGCTTCCCTGTTCGTCGCGTTCGGCCGAATGATATGATTTCGTTTTGGACTCTGGAGTCAGGAATTCGCAGATTTGCGGCACCGGAAACACTATCTGTTCCATCGTTCGGTCGTGTCTTACGATCTAGTTGTGGTCAAAATGTCAATCCTATCAATCATTGCCGCATATATAATATAATTGTAAAATTACCTCAATCTGTGCGGTGTGTGACTGATAATAACTCAACGATTCCTTCATTTTGGTATTGATTTCAATCTCTGTTTCATTCGAGTTCTTGAGAAGTGATGCCAAGTCTTTGTTGTGTTGAGCCAATTGATGGCACAGAATGTATATATTATGTCCGACTTCTTTGGGATTCACGGCATCGTCGCTGTCGTCAATGTCAGAAAAGCTATCAATATCTTCATTGCTGTCATGGCTTTGATGGAAAGCATTACACGAGACGTCGATTAACTGTTTGGGACTCATATTAAACAGAATTCGTTCCGCGTTTTCAGAATCGGCTCGACTTTCCATTATAGCCAACAATAGTTTCGATGCATTATTCTTGAGCTCCAGAACTAAATCCATGCGTTTCTTTCCCAGAGGATTGATATCATTGAGAATAAGGGCTATAATTATGTCAATTCCATTGGACTCATGCATTGCGATACAGTTTTGATTGTCATGACACGGGCCCTGACAGTACTCCGTCAGTGTTTCCAGCGTTTGGTTAACTAACGCCACGTTATTCTCGTTAATATACAGCCCGAGTAAACCCAATCCACCGGTGGTTGAACCGCACAAACGGTCCAAAAACATCAACGTTTCGGATATCAAATTGAAATTATTTTTGTTGGTTTGTTGGCGAAGAAAGTTTTGCAACTCGTAGTTATGGTTTTCGCACAACAATTGCAAGAATCTTAAGATCTGTTGCATAACCGCTATTTCGGACGGAAGTCGCGAGTCGTAGGCTTTGGTGCGCGACTCACGCCTTTCGGTGCCGTAAACCAAATACACGTCTTCGAGGGGAACGAAACCATTTCCCTGAGACGTCGACTCCCTTTCGTCGCTAAACGACGAGTGATTGATGAGTGGAGTGGACGGCGTGTAACCCATACTATTGATCTGTTGGTAGGCTTTGTTGGTAACACTCGCCGCGTCCATCAGCTGTTGCTTTAGTTCGTCCGTCAATACGATTCCGTTATGACTTCGACTGTTTCTAAGCGTGTCTTTTCGGCCGTAAACGTTGTTGGCGTCCAATTTGTCTCCATTAGTGGTGTCTTCTTTGTCAGCCTTATTGTGTTCACTGGAACTGACATTAATGGTAGACTTGATCTCGTGCTGAGCGCTCTTCATCTTATCGAAGAACACTTTAAAGAACTTGTCGGCAGAGTTCTCGGCCGTGAGTTTGTTGAATATGGACTTCTGAATGGTAGAGTTGCCGCCTTCCAGCAGCGCTATTCCCAACTCCACGCACTCCACAAATATGTTGTGGATGGGATTGATCATGATCAACTCGATCACCAGATTACTGCAGCCCTCTTTGTCCAAATGGCACTGCACTTCCGATAGTGTCATCTCAGCCCTCGACAGTAGTATACCTCCGGGTCCGAACTGTGTCGACGACTTCTTCATCGGTTTCGGTATTATTTCTAATTTATTACTTTTGTTACTCTTATTCCCGCTCTTAATAATCATCTCATTTCTCGACAAATATCTATCCAATAATACTTTCCGAAGTACTTCTCCCTAACAATTGGTTAGCGTTTAAAAATAATTGTGAAAATAGTATTAATCGTTTGATCACTTATTTATGATTAAAATTTAAATTTGTTATTAATAAAAATAAAATAATAAAATAAAAATTAATCAAATAAATAGATAGAAATGATAAAAATAAATGTCACAAAACAAAATTTAAAAAACCAATGAATACGTGAACAGAAAGGGTTGCAAATAATGGGTGCAAAACATTCTCATAATTTGTGCCAACAGTTGATATAATGGTCTAAACTCTTACCCTTTCTCTATTCAAGAGATCCAATTCAGTTAACATTAAGATAGAAATCACGCCGACTTTGCGCTCGAGAGTTACGTCACGAATTCGGTGATGAATTTAGTGACCACTTTCTTCAACTCGCCGTTTAGTGACCAGAGCTCTAGCGTTCAGGTATTGTACGGTATTTACTATATAATTGCCCAAACATTCAATGGCTTTAATAATAGACTAACAAAAACACACATCACTTGCACTAAACAATTCATTGCTTTTAATTTTTCGGTTTCCCTAAAAAATACTTTAATTTGGATTTTGGTTTTTGGTTCAAAATATATGGCATTAAAATGCATGATCTCTTATGACCTCATAAATGCTTTCCAATGTTTAGAAGCACTTAAACTCAAAATATTCCTCAACCAAACCTCAAAGAGTAGACTTAACTGATGTAAGACTTTAGACCCATTATTCGCCACATTTGATACACAATTTGCTTAAACATTTGCCACAACTACAGACACACCAACCAGTGTTCGTGCGCGTACTTCAGGGCGCCTTCCGCTTGAGTAACTGTACGTGGCTTTCATTACCGCAACGGATTAATGTGGAGACATGTATTAAGGCGCTGATGGAAATCGCCAAAACCAGAGCAATGGCTGTTCCCACCGAACTCGAGACTCAAGTGACACAAATGTTTCAAAAGCAAAACTTAAACAGTTTTGTGTGCTCTCACACCGACAGCCGGCGAGCGTCGCCTTGGTGGTGATCTTTATCGCGGTTTGGAGGCCGCGATCTGGAGTATGTTTCGTGTGGAGTTTAATCAAAGGCATTGCTAGCCACCATAATTGAAGGCTTTCAGGACATTGTCTCCCTTTTGGAGGAGCAGTTGAGACCCTTAGTTCAGGCAGAGTTGTCCGTCTTTGTTGATGTACTCTATCGGCCAGAAATGTTATTCCCGGTCAACACAGAGGCTCGTCGTATGTGTGAAAACGGAGGCTTTATTAGTCGACTCATAAAACACACCGAAAGACTTATGGAGGAGAAGGAGGAAAAACTTTGCATAAAAGTATTACAGACTCTAAAGGAGATGCTGGCTATCGATCCGGACTACGAGGAGAGGGTAAGACATTATTGATAATTATAGGCAATATATGATTACATGAAATAATTGACTTGTGAGTAGAGCCTATGATTTACAGTAATATATAATATGATTAGTAAATCCACACATAAATTGCAAATAAAATGATATACCTTTCCATTCCATTCCATTCCAATACTAACCAAAGGCTTTACTCGACCATTACAATTGACTTAACCTAGAGAACTTATCTCTTTCCCATTCTCAAATCTGGTAATATAGTTGACAACCGTGTTTAATACTCTTACAAAACGTGGGTAATAAACGTTGGGAAAGACAAGTGCATAAGATTGGTTTTTTAAATTTTGTTTTGTGACATTTATTTTTATAATTTCTATCTATTTATTTGATCAATTTTTATTTTATAATTTTATTTTTATTAATAACAAATTAAAAGTTTAATCATAAATCAGTGATCAAACGATTAATACTATTTTCACAATTATTTTTAAACGCTAACCAATTGTTAGGGAGAAGTACTTCGGAAAGTATTATTGGATAGATATTTGTCGAGAAACGAGATGATTATTAAGAGCGGGAATAAGAGTAATAAAAGTAATAAATTAGAAATCATACCGAAACCGATGAAGAAGTCGTCGACACAGTTCGGACCCGGAGGTATACTATTGTCGAGGGCTGAGATGACACTATCGGAAGTGCAGTGCCATTTGGACAAAGAGGGCTGCAGTAATCTGGTGATCGAGTTGATCATGATCAATCCCATCCATAACATATTTGTGGAGTGCGTGGAGTTGGGAATAGCGCTGCTGGAAGGCGGCAACTCTACCATTCAGAAGTCCATATTCAATAAACTCACGGCCGAGAACTCTGCCGACAAGTTCTTCAAAGTGTTCTTCGATAAGATGAAGAGCGCTCAGCACGAGATCAAGTCTACCATTAATGTCAGTTCCAGTGAACACAATAAGGCTGACAAAGAGGACACCAATAATGGAGACAAATTGGACGCTAACAACGTTTACGGCCGAAAAGACACGCTTAGAAACAGTCGAAGTCATAACGGAATTGTATTGACGGACGAACTAAAGCAACAGTTGATGGACGCGGCGAGTGTTACCAACAAAGCCTACCAACAGATCAATAGTATGGGTTACACGCCGTCCACTCCACTCATCAATCACTCGTCGTTTAGCGACGAAAGGGAGTCGACGTCTCAGGGAAATGGTTTCGTTCCCCTCGAAGACGTGTATTTGGTTTACGGCACCGAAAGGCGTGAGTCGCGCACCAAAGCCTACGACTCGCGACTTCCGTCCGAAATAGCGGTTATGCAACAGATCTTAAGATTCTTGCAATTGTTGTGCGAAAACCATAACTACGAGTTGCAAAACTTTCTTCGCCAACAAACCAACAAAAATAATTTCAATTTGATATCCGAAACGTTGATGTTTTTGGACCGTTTGTGCGGTTCAACCACCGGTGGATTGGGTTTACTCGGGCTGTATATTAACGAGAATAACGTGGCGTTAGTTAACCAAACGCTGGAAACACTGACGGAGTACTGTCAGGGCCCGTGTCATGACAATCAAAACTGTATCGCAATGCATGAGTCCAATGGAATTGACATAATTATAGCCCTTATTCTCAATGATATCAATCCTCTGGGAAAGAAACGCATGGATTTAGTTCTGGAGCTCAAGAATAATGCATCGAAACTATTGTTGGCTATAATGGAAAGTCGAGCCGATTCTGAAAACGCGGAACGAATTCTGTTTAATATGAGTCCCAAACAGTTAATCGACGTCTCGTGTAATGCTTTCCATCAAAGCCATGACAGCAATGAAGATATTGACAGCTTTTCTGACATTGACGACAGCGACGATGCCGTGAATCCCAAAGAAGTCGGACATAATATATACATTCTGTGCCATCAATTGGCTCAACACAACAAAGACTTGGCATCACTTCTCAAGAACTCGAATGAAACAGAGATTGAAATCAATACCAAAATGAAGGAATCGTTGAGTTATTATCAGTCACACACCGCACAGATTGAGGTAATTTTACAATTATATTATATATGCGG